CAGGAACCTGTTCAGAGGTTACGATTGCATTGTTTATCAAGAGGGTTCTTATTTACACCATATTACTATTATATATTATGCACCTCTATCTCTAACGCCAGCAATCTCTACATATTTCCACCAGACAATAACACGCAAACCATTGTTTATCAAGAGGGTTCTTATTTACACCATATTACTATTATATATTATGCACCTCTATCTCTAACGCCAGCAATCTCTACATATTTCCACCAGACAATAACACGCAAACCATTGTTTATCAAGAGGTTTTCAAATGAAAACTGCAACCCATTCGTACATGCTGTTATAATAACTTTTTCTCATTTGCACCATATTACTATTATGTTCCAGGGGTTCTAAGTTGGGTTCTGCTGTCATATAAATGGCATACGTAACAGTTTTTTCCCCATGCTTATTATCTTATTACACTGATTTGTAAATATTGATATTGTGTGCAATGCTATATTGTCGATTTTTACCCAATGTTCCTATTGTGTCCAATTATTAGTAGTATGAATTAGTAGCACGATTTTACCCAGCGCAGCGGGTACCCGCAGCTAGTATATATATAATTAGGTGTGACATAAGTGTTGTTCAGGTGTTGGTGGTTGTAAGTGGTGATGTGCGTTGGCTTATTTGTTAATTAGTTCCTGGTGGTTTTGTCTAAAAGTATGTAAGATGGTCAGGTGTAAATAAATAAATATATATCAGTGTTTCCCCAGGCCAAAAATGCCTGTGAGGTGGTAATAATTTTTTGGTGTGCTTGCGTGTTCCATGTGTCCTAGCCAAGCGAGGGGGTTATTTAGATTTTAGTTCAATAAAGTGTAGTTTAATGATGGAAGAAAAGTGATTTTCGTCAGCGTGGCAGTGTTTTGGACAAATTTTGGTGTGGAGGCTGAGAATGTGAGCGAGGCGGCCCACCTCGCTCGTGTCAATGCAGTGGAATTAAACGCTGTATATATCGGCAATGCAGAGAGCTTTTGTTATGGCAGGAGTCTGTGGCTGATGTTAGGGCGTTAATGAAGAAGCATGACGACTTTAATCGCTCGCTGCAAGCACAAGAGGGAGTGATCGACCAACTCTGTGAGGAAGCTCAGCAGCTGATAAAGGTAACGTTTACATCGGTACTGCTGCGTGAATACAGAAACGGTCATAATTTTCTACGAGATCTGTAATGAATTTGTAAAGCATGTCATTTGAAACACTAAACACACTTATCACAAAAATAATGAACTATTTTTTAATTGGTTTTTGTATTTGTTTATTTATTTATTAATTTCGTTACTTATTCCACATTTTGAAGTATACTGTGGAACTGTTTGTCTATCAAGCCAGCTGCTTAAGCATGTAAATATGTTCTATTTAAACATTACAGTGCTTGCCACCATTCAAGATTGAGCATACTGTTTACACACCCAATAATAATTGGATGTCCACCTGATAAGTTTAAATTTAAAGGGAATATTAAAAACGCGCTCTTCACGGAGGTAAACAGTTGGTGACCCATGTGATTACATAAGCATTTTTGCTATTTTATTACTGTAGTAGGCTTTCGCTCGGTAGCTGCTGAGAAGGTCATGGTTAAGAAATGTGGTTACTGAAACTGTGCAGTCGGAATGCGAAATTGTCTAATTTGAGTGCCATTTATCTTTTCTACTCGTTTATAACTTGCTTGCATGGAGTTGTTGTGTTAAGTAAACCTATTAGGTATGAGGAGAGCCATTCAATTTCCTCATTGTAGGATGGTCATTATAATGCCGTGGCTATACAATACAAATGCGAAAAGGTGACAGAGCGCAGAAAACATCTCTGGAATGCTAGTGCCAACAGGAAAAGGAAATTAGAAAAGGCGATACAGCTGCAGCAATACCTGGACAATGCACATGAGGTACGTATTTAATCATCGATCTTCTGCAGCTATGTGGGATTCTGAACATGTGTGGATTATACGTACTGTGCATGTGTTCACTACGTGTGTAGAATGACTGAAGCTCATATTGTTTTGGCTAAGGTAAGCAGATGGATTCAGGAGAAGATGCAAATTGCCTGCGATGAGTCGTACAGAGATCCTACAAACCTACAGAGCAAGATACAGAAACATCAGGCATTCGAGGCAGAGCTTCTGAGCAATAGAAACTGCATCCTTTCTGTCAAACAGGTACAACTGTGAAATATTAACGTTATTTTGGATTAATTGCTATACTCTGGTAATGAAGGTGCACTGGAAATGACTCATCACAAGCTCCATAAAGCTCACGCTATTTGCTGTTGGTCCCAGTTAGTAAGAGCAATTTCTAGTAGGTAACCATAATAGAATCATCTATTGCTGACAAGTGCCCATGCATGCATGGGTTTATGTGCTGCTTCTGAATGCCTTATATATATAATTATATACATATACTAGCGGGATACCCGGCGTTGCCCCGGGGAAATCAGTGGCTGTACTCAGTTGGTGACCGCTTGGTTGAAAGGAAAATACCCCATAAAATCTAACTATCTATCTATCCATGCATCCATCCATGCATCCATCCATGCATCCATCCATCCATCCCATTCCATGCCATCCCATCGCACCGCATTCCATCCCATCCCATCCCATCCCATATCCCATCCCATCCCATCTCATTGCATCCCATGCCATCCCATGCCAGGCCATGCCATGCCATGCCATGCCATGCCATCCCATCCCATCCCATCCCATCCCATCCCATCCCATGCCATTGCACCGCATGCCATGCCATGCCATGCCATCCCATCCCATCCCATCCCATCCCATCCCATCCCATGCCATTGCATGCCATCCCATGCCATCCCATCCCATCCCAAACAGTAAAAAATAAGAAGAAATCAAAAGATAAAAAACATAAAAATTAAAATTAAAAATTAAAAATAATACATACTAAAGAGCCCCAGCTGGGACTCGAACCCGGAATCCCGGTGTAGGAGACGGATGCTTTAGCGATTAGGCCACTGCACCGTTGAGGGTATACCACTGTGGGGTATACAGAATAGATTCACACGTATGTGATGTTAATCTGTACGCACCGCCATCTATTGACGAATAGAATTTTTATCAATTTTTAACTTTTTAATTTTGTTTAATTTTTGTTTCAGCCAGAACCACCTCCCAGACGTGCTGATTCTGAAAATATTTTTAGTTTTCCTCTAGGCTGCGGAGTTCTCTAGTTATGCGATTACGGACTAATTCAGGGTCTCCAACCATTCCGCATTCTGCAGAATCATTACGATTTCTAGGCTTAATTTCCGCACTCCGCAGCGGCAAGGTTATATTCCTCATTTCAGTTGCACTGTATAAAATTTTCACTGATTGTTCGCATTGTTCGCTTGGACACATTGTTTTTTTTTTAGCCGGTGCCTGGCACTGGCCACACGCTGGTGCAGTAGAGATGCAGCAAGTTTATTAATAGTCATCACTGCGCGAGTCGTTTCTTGGAAATGCACGCTCTGCCATTACCTTAGTTTTGCACCCCCCCTACCATCGCTCAGTGTTCTAATGTGTTTCTATGCATTTTGTATCTGGCATGTCTACGGTAAATGGAACAGCCTAGTCAGACAGGCGCTGTCTGCAAGGTACGTGCCGCGTAGTTTGTCTGCTAATCAGATTAACACGTGGGGAGAATGGCGTCCAATTGCCATTGCCATCCAAAAAACCTGACTTTTACAGAAATTCAGGAACGAATATACACAGATGTGGCCTGTACTTGTGAAGTCAAAACTCAGTGTTAATCATGGCTATTGCATGGTATGCAAGACAGACTTTCAAGTGGGGCACGGAGGAAGGAGTGACTGCCAGAGGCATATAGTCTCTCAACAGCATAAGTGCTATGCGGGTGCAGTGGAATCGGTTACAGCCTTATAGACCGAAGGCCAGATAGACCGAAGGTTTATTCGAATACGCAGTGGCTAGTACTGGCTACACGTCCGGAATCAGTCGCCTAGCCTCCAGGCTACGCATCCGGACATCCACTGATGCGGTATTCGAACGTGAATATGCCGCACATCCACCGATGCCACTATACATCATATGATGCCACTATAAACCATATATATGCCCTAACCCTAACCCTAACCCTAACCCTAACTCAAACCCTAACCCTTTGCAATATTTGGTCTATCGGACCTTCGGTCTATCGGACCTTCGGTCTATCGGACCTTCGGTCTATAGGTCCCTTTTCAATATTCGGTCTATCGGACCTTCGGTCTATCGGACCTTCGGTCTATCGGACCTTCGGTCTATAGGGCTGCCCCCATGGAATCTACACCCAATATATCAAGCTTCTTTGCAGCAGATAGAGAATTGTCTGTCTTGACTCAGAAGTGAGATTTACGGATTATTTAATTGAACACAATGTGTCTTTCAGGGCGGCAGACCATGCAAATGAACTCTTCAAGAAAATGTTTCCAGACTCACAAATAGCCAAGAAGTATGGTTGCAAACATACAAAAACACGTGAAATTGTGAGAAATTGCAATTCTTACCTGTGTTTTAATACATGTATTATTACTGTAGTAACCTAACTGTGTACGCTCTCTGAAAAGTCATGAAAAGTGTTTTGAATCCTAACTTGTAGGGTTGAGTCTAGGGTTGAGATAGTGTCAACAGACATGAGAATATGGCCCACAGTATGCCTCAGATTGCAAATATTTCAAAATTTTCGGGGGGCATGCCCCCAGACGCCCCTAGCACTGGCATGCCTACGGCACGCGGGCCTGTCTGCGGCAGCCAAGGTTAATTTCGCCCCCCCCCCCCGCTGTCCATCAATTTCATTCCACATTT